CGAACCCGAGAGAGGAAAATCATCTGAAAATGAGTGTCATCATTTTGTATATGTTTACTGTTGATAATTTATGACATTTATGATATGGCAAGTTACAGCAATTAATTCAGTTATCGACTCTTGATATTATTCCGAAGCGTCGAGTTTTATGAAATACCTGTAACGATGAACGCCGAACGCTGACGCTCATTACTTCTCAATTAGTATTATAATATTAGTATTGATTATTGTTCTAATTAAGCTTTCCTAGCAATGAAAAAAATATGGATCAGTTACTATGGCTAGTAGAGAATTCATTTCCAGGATAAATTCTGGTTCGTGAACACAATCATTACTCTCTCTAAAAATCTGGCTAATATGAACGGTTTATCAGTAATAACCAAAATATAAATGAAATAAAATATAAGACTGGACGTTTTCATAAGCTTCCCAAAATTACGCAAAAATTTGCATGTATACAAACTTCATCCCCCCCTTCAGATAATAAAGATAATATAATTAAGAGTGAACGAATCAAATACTCCGGGTCAAAATTGACCCTCGTCCTCGCCTTGCAAGGGCTGAAAGCTGCTTGTATTTTCAGAGGTCCAATTATTTTGAGAATATTGTTGTCACTTCATAGTCGTGAAGGGTTCGATTCTGTTTTTCTCTATCAAACTTCGCTTCCATTGAGAAACCGCAATAATACCTAAACCTACCCTATTGTACAACTTCGAATAGCTGTCTGAATTATTTCTTGGCTTCTCGCTCTTATTATGCAGCAGCGGCGGCGACGGCGGCGGTAGCCGTGCGCGTTAAATGCAGCAGGCATTTAAATTCGTCATAATTCTTGCGCCATTTCTATATATCCAAGCGGCAATCAGGCAATTAAATCGTCGAAACGGGACGGTCGAAATAAACCATCGTAGGTTTATCGAGTGCCCTTAAGAACTGGAACCATCAATCCCAGAACGCCCTATAAAAATTTTCCCCCTGTCGGCCGGCTCGAGATTGTTCGCTTAAACACAACCGAGTGGATTTTTATGGGCTTTCAACCTCCCCCCGCTGTTCACCCGGTTTCAGCCGGAAAACAAGGATACGTCTATAGTGTAACCTTCAATACCGTAATCTGCGGCAGTCACGCCAGGACCTGGCCGAAAAAATGGGTCAGTTCGATGCAAATTAATTTATCTTTCGGGCGTCTGACCGGGAGATCGCCTCCCACGGGCGATAACTCGGTACGAATAGACCGTATCGTGGCCCATAGGGGGCCGGCGCGAGGCACGGCGAGGCGAGGCGAGGCGCGGCGGTCGCCTAAACGTAATCAGAACGGACGGCTGAAGGCTGGATCGGCGGCGAAGTATTATCGGAGTTCGATCTGAAACTCGAGCGGGGGAGCCCCGCATGATATCTGGGCTGACCTAAAAAATTTAAAAATGTCATAGCTGCGCCGGATATCTTGACTAATTATGAATAAGCAATGCAAATGGGCGCTGCGCCGATGTTACGATTCCGGGTCACGAACGGATTATAAAGTCTTCTTTGTACTGAAATTACAACCTTCGGCCAAATGAGCGAGTTTCTTGTAATAGCCCCCCGCGGACCGGCTTATCTTTTTACGCCGGATTTTCAGGCTATCGATTCGAGAGCCTTGATAATCCTGCAGCGAAGTCTCCCTGTAGGTGCACCCGTTTCGATTTTGAAAGTACTACAGGCTCGGGCAAATTGAGCGTTGCATCTTTCGACAGATGGCACTGCTAAACGGTTCGATTGTTGTTTGTTGTATTCAAATTGAGTGTCGCATCTTGAGATTGAAATAAAACGCAGACTATTCGAGAGTATTTCAGGTTTCTTTGTTTTAATGTAAAGTTCACACTAGTTGTTATTAATTAATTAATACAGAGAGACATTCTCGGAAAATCTAGAGAAACTTAAGTATGCGGTTCAAGGCTGTAACATTCGAACGCTCACATGTACCTGGAAGAACTTCGTTCTTGTAATTGTACACTTTATTTGCCGACGTTTGCCTGATACAGGGTTGTTCAAACTAAGGGTCGCATTTTTGAGTAAATGGCACTGCTAGACGGTTCGATCGTTGTTTGTTGTATCCACAAATTGAGTGTCGCATCTTGAGATTGAAATAAAACGCAGACTATTCGAGCGTATTTCAGGTTTCTTTGTTTCAATGTAAAGTTCACACGAGTTGTTATTAATCGTGGACTAATCGTCGTGGAACGCTGCGCTGTGCAGCAACGCGTACAAATCGTCGAAAATTCTGACGAACGTTCGAGTTCTGTTCGAGCTTGTTTTCGCGCGGTTCGCGAAATTTTTGGTCCAAGCGATCGACCTTCCGCGAGAACGATTCGTCGAATCGTGGATAAATTCAAAGAGACTGGCTCGGTTTGCGATGTAACACGTGGTGCGTGTCAACGCGGAGCTCGCAACGGTGAAAATATCGCTGCCGTTTGGAACAGCGTGGAAGAAAATCCAAATGCATCGATTTCTCGCCGTTCGCCACGATTTGCACTTTCGTGCGGCACAATCTGGCGTATTTTGCTATGTAACTGCGTCAGATTTCTTGCTATGGGGTTTTTAAAAAAGTACAGTTTCCGTCGATAATCCACGAAAGATCGACGAGCTAGAAACAATACTATAGCCGCCGTTAATGAAATAGAACCCCGATTATGTAACAATGTAATGGAAAATTGGGTAAAACGAGTCGGGCTCGTGAAAAAAAGCCAGGGAGGTCATTTGAACGACACTATGTTCCACGATTAACGTTGTGCAATGGACTTTACATTAAAATAAAGAACCCTGAAATATCTCAAACAGTTTGCGTTTTATTTCAATCTCAAGATGTGACGCTCGATTTGGATAATCCTATAGTTCNAATGTAAAGTTCACACGAGTTGTTATTAATCGTGGACTAATCGTCGTGGAACGCTGCGCTGTGCAGCAACGCGTACAAATCGTCGAAAATTCTGACGAACGTTCGAGTTCTGTTCGAGCTTGTTTTCGCGCGGTTCGCGAAATTTTTGGTCCAAGCGATCGACCTTCCGCGAGAACGATTCGTCGAATCGTGGATAAATTCAAAGAGACTGGCTCGGTTTGCGATGTAACACGTGGTGCGTGTCAACGCGGAGCTCGCAACGGTGAAAATATCGCTGCCGTTTGGAACAGCGTGGAAGAAAATCCAAATGCATCGATTTCTCGCCGTTCGCCACGATTTGCACTTTCGTGCGGCACAATCTGGCGTATTTTGCTATGTAACTGCGTCAGATTTCTTGCTATGGGGTTTTTAAAAAAGTACAGTTTCCGTCGATAATCCACGAAAGATCGACGAGCTAGAAACAATACTATAGCCGCCGTTAATGAAATAGAACCCCGATTATGTAACAATGTAATGGAAAATTGGGTAAAACGAGTCGGGCTCGTGAAAAAAAGCCAGGGAGGTCATTTGAACGACACTATGTTCCACGATTAACGTTGTGCAATGGACTTTACATTAAAATAAAGAACCCTGAAATATCTCAAACAGTTTGCGTTTTATTTCAATCTCAAGATGTGACGCTCGATTTGGATAATCCTATAGTTCTCATAAAATCGAAGGTCAACAGAGAGTCGAAAGGCCACAATAACCTCATCCATACTCCGTCGAATCATTCAGATTACTATTGCAAGTTTCTTTGAAATTATTATTCGACAGAAAACCATCGAGCTTCTCCAAAACAGAGTTCAGTCATTGGAGAACCTATCAATAGCCTAAAATCTCGCAAAATTTCGTACAAAGTATTTCATTCAGTTAAATTGAAATCAAGAGATCGAATTCCACGACATCAACCGCATTTTCAACGTCCTTCAGTTCTGCGAGATCCAATAAAGGCCCAAAGACGTAACACGTCAGGGTAAAAATTCATTCGAATCTCGTGGTTATGTCAAGGTTATTTGGACAACCCTATATTAGCAAACTGTCGTTAGAGAAAATGTTGATCGCACATTTAACAGCTCTGAAATAGCCGAATTTCCTAGCCGCAAATTATTCCAAGTCTCAAATTGTTCAACACGGTATCTCGTGAAACTTTTACAGAATTTTTGTGCACACAACGATTCATAATCGATTGGCTTTCTGATCCGCACTTTGGATCGGCGCATCGTTTGAGAAGACGAGAGCACTTTTCGTTTCGTTATTTAAGAAAATTCCATAAATTTCCCAGCGGCGCAACAATAGTCCGCCGAAGCACAATAGTTTGTCTGGCGCTGCAAGCAAGTTTGACGAATCGCGGAAGAACCGCCGCCATTGTTTTTGGGTCTTATTGTTTCCGTGGAGAGAGAGTAACGACGGTCTCGCGTGCCGCGGAGGATGTTGTCGGATGCTAATGCATCTCGATGTGCAACGCCGTTCGGATACGGGAAACGAGAGATAGGTTCTGAACGAACGGCTCTGTCAAAATACCACTTTCTTCGTGCTTTCTTGCGAAGCCGAAATAGCGATCATTCGCTGGCAAATAAGAAGCCGTCGTTTCGTAGATCAAAAAAGCGTAGCAAATGATGAAACAATGCCTTTCTCTAGAACGCTGTCTCAGAATTAATTAAATCAGTATCATTTGCAGTACTCCGATACGATACGAATTGACGAATCTGACTTCGTATTGATAATTCGATTGATAACTCCGTCTAATTGCCACGTCGTCAGCGTCAGAATCGAGACTTATTCGCAACAATTCGAATGAATATTTATCTATGATAATTATCCGAGCGAATACTTTCGAGTCGAATATTTTACTCGAGTAACAATTATCAATCCTGACTCGAACGTCCTCGTATCTTATCCGTCACTTAAATAAAACGTTTCTCCTAATTCCGACCCGTGCATTAAACTCGTTCGGATCGTGCAAACAGATGGTTACCGATCGCAATTGCTACAATCTGACACAAATCCGTGACGCAACACCGCCTTCCTGGATCTCTATCTCCGGTCGCGTACGCGTCGTTAACGACGTTGAAATCAGTGGATAATTTACCTTGAAAGTAGCTTTTCGTTCGCAGATAGCTCACGCTGAGTCTGAGGATGCTGAGCCGGTCCAGCTTGCTGAGGATGTTTTGCTCGAACGGAAGCAACGACGCCAGCGTGTCCAATTCTGCGTTCAGCCGTTCCCGGTGTCGTTTGCTGGGGTTCGACTTCGTCACGCCATCCTTTTGCGGTGGTTTCAAACTGCGACAGAAAGAATCATTGTTGCTCGGGTCAATTATTTCGCAAAACCTTCGAGGATCGCGCGAGAATCGAGCCGGCCGTCTCGATGGAAAATTGAAAATGTTCTCCGATCGTTCGCAGAAGTTTCTCGTCGCTTCGGATATCGCAGAGTTTGACGTTGAAGAGACGTTGTTCCACCGCGAATAACGTTGAACTGTATTTTTGAGAGATACGAACGACCTTGTTAGAACGATTCGAAAAGCGTCAACATAAATCTTTCGGGGAACGATATGAAAATTCATTCGATAACGGGGGACCTTGTGCCAACGTTACGAAAAATTCTGCGCGCCACTGTTCTGCGATGGAAATAACGTTAAAATTCATTTTTCGACGATAAGGAGAACCTCGTCCCAGCGTTTCGGCGTCCAACCCGTTCTCTCGAGGCTCTGCCAGGAGATCGAGCCGGCCGACGAAAGCGGCCGAAGAATTTTCTTCGGCTCGCGGCGAAGGGGGCAGAAGGGGGGAGGACAGCGAGGCAACAATGTATCACCGCGCCTTAATTAGCCAGAATAATCGAGATAATCGTTCCGGCCTCCCCGCGTTCGACTGGTTTCAGGAATTCCGCTGGCCGGAGTATCGGCGGCCACCTTCGAGGCTCCGAACAACAGGCGGCCTGCGACCGAGCGATCTTCGATAATTAAAGACGACCAGCGTCGGGGGTTGATTGACACGCGGGAAACCCTGCGGACCGATTTGCCCACTCAACAGCCGGGATTCTTTCGGATAAGTATAGTTATTACTAAGTATTTCGCCCATCTGCGTCGACCTCCCTCCGCCCCGCCGCCCTCTCTCGGTTCGTCTTCTTCTCTGCCCCCCCCCCCTCTACCGCCCCTCGATATCTGCTCGTTGCCCCTTTACGGAACGTAAAGAACGAGAATCGGCTGATTATGACGACTGGCAATTGACAACCGCGGTACCACGTGGAGACCTGATTGGCCGGCATTGGCGTAAACGCCCCGGGGATTCGTCCCGTAATCAATTTCTCGAGAAATTAAGGCACGGTGTCTCGAAGTTTGCTCCTGTTGCCGAGACTGTTGCCGAGAATTTATTTCTAAGGCGCGCGGTTGCGGGCGCGTCGATTAAAGAAACAGCGCGAGGCTCGTTCAGGAGGCTTTTCTCTTCTCGGGGGAATTCGTTTGCAAAGATCGAACCGAGGATCTCCGCGCGGATTGCTGTTTTTTAGGATATTTCGCAAGAATAAGGGAAAAGCGAGCAGTTGTTCCGTTGGCGGAGGAATTGCTTCGACAGGAAAGAATTACCAGCAGTATCTGTTACTATGTTTTTACGTTCTTTCCTCGATTCTAATAGCGAGTTTTGTCGCACCTGCGTCCACAAACACAGTAAATTCTTCTGAATCGACGCTCAGATTTGCACAAAAGTGAACAATTTCGGAAGATATTTGGAGGAAATATTATTATGTGAGCCTAATGATAATAATATTATTAATAATAATATAATAATAATAATAATAATATTAAATAATAATATTAAAATTAAATTAAAATTAAATAATAATAATATTAAAATAATAATAATAATAATAATATTATTTGAGCCTTGCGTCTGGTTTTTATAGTTGTTGGCGATCGGTGACTATAAAAAATCGTATCTCCTCTTCCTAAATTGTCCACTTTCGTGTAAAATTTGAGGAGAATTAGGGAAGTCAATTAGAGAGAATTTAATATAACTGTTTTCAGAAAACAACTCGTGAAGCAGTTCTTTCCGAGATCACGTGTTTAATTCGATCATAACTGATGTCCTTTTTTTTCACAGATAGTTTCATTGACCATGTACGATCGATCGAGCGTCGAGTGTTTCGGTGAATCGCGCGTCTCCGCGATTGTCTAGTCGAGTAGACGTCGGCAGAAACGCGACGCCATTGGGCACCGGCGACGTAAACACGGAAAATCGAATCGCTTACGGACGGGACTCGGACTGTTTGTTTAATTGAAACGCTCGCCGTGGGAATGGGACCCCATACCGAACCAGTACGGAACTGCCCGTCAAAGACACCGCGCCGCTCGACCCTGTACTTAGCAGTAATTATTATTGTACGCGCATATACATAGGCACAAGTTTAACAACCGACCTATCCTTCCAATCCTGCAGGACCAGACGGACGGGTTGCAAAGCTCCGGGACCAGTTCTTATCTCGGATTACCACGGGGCAATAGCTGTGTGCGCCTGCGTGTAATGCCCGTCCACGAAAAGATGGCACGGAGAGACTAGTTGGGACCTATGGCCCGCTTCTACCGTCTACCGATGTGCCCACTTCTAGTTTCTACTTGGTAGAGAGCAGTCGGGAGTACTTGAAATTCAATTGACTGGGTCCGGAGCGAGAAATTTGCTTCGATTTAATTTGAAAAGTGGGCCTGACGGTAGTGAAAATCGCTTTTGAAACGGTATAGTGAATTCTCTCTAATTGACGCTCGGATTGTGCACAAAAATAACAATTTGCGAAGAGGAGAAATTTTGCATCGACGTAGCGATAAATTACATAGGCGTGGGACTAGGGAAATTCACACTGGGAAATTCACGGCAACCCGAAATTTGGCATTTCCGGGAGAAATTACTTGTATTTTGATATTAAAGTTTTGCAGTAAATGAATTATTTCACACTCTTTAACATTTGATTTACTTACCAAAGTAACAATTCTGATTTTTAAATTGAATAAATAACTCGTAAATGTGTCTTCGCGAATAATCCTAAATTAAAAAGTTAGCCGTCATTTTGACGGATTCCGTAAATCTACTGTTAACAGAACAAGTTACGGGCAAGTCGATAGAACGATTGACTAAAAAACTGTAAGTATAGCAATTTTTTAACACTGCTTAGTTCCACTTTTATCACACAATTTAGAAGTGAACGAATATTTTAACTATCTCGTAATTTGATGTTAATCCCATACGACGCCAATATTAATTATGAAACGAAAAACATAAATTTTTAATACATAAAATAGAAATTCCGCTGAAAACAACGAACAACTTGTTCTGCTAAATAGCGTTAAATAATTCATGCGTACAAAACTTTGCTATCAAAATATCACGGAAACGAAGGAATTTCTTCCCATTCTGAACAAACTTATTAAGATTTTTTTATACTAGGTATATGCTATAACTTGTATCTATTACCGTTTCAAAAGCGATTTTCACCACCGTAGGGCCCCGTTGTAAGGCCCGCGCGCGCGATTTCCGATGGCCAGTGCGAACGACTCGATTTAAAGCCGAGGCTCCGCGAGAAGAAAAACGTTCGACGTAAACAAAAAAAATCGCGGCGTTCGAGCAAGTAATATCGTCTTTACTTTTTCATTCCGTAATTAAAACGATCTTCCAATTTATTACTCAATATCCTAGAACACTTAAAATTCGTAGTTCTTTCGACGACACGTCAAACATTAGCTCTAGAACGGCTCTGCTGAATTACAGTCGCCATTCCGTCTCCTATTAATTCAGATCATCCCGACGCAATCATTACGAATCATTATCGCGACAACCGAACGGTTACGAATTAGTCAATTAAAGCGTGGTAGCGGAGCCGCGTTCGAGGAAACAGCGAAATTCCCGAGCAGCCTGGAAATGCCGGGAAAAAAGGGAGGCACGGCCGCGGAAAAAAAGAACAGGGCGAAAGGTGGGGGAGACGCGGAAAAGAGAGAAAAACAACGCGTGGCCTTAATTAAAATGCTTAGGGGTTAGAAAGCGTGATGAATGAGATTGCCGGGGCCGTGGACGGGACGCGGGCAGTGCGTCTGCGCGGCAGCGCCGAGAAGAACTCTATTAATTATTAGATGACACCGAATCCATTATCCGGGACGAGGAGCGACGGAGGTCCTCGTGGAATAGTCTCTCATTCAGATACCATTAGGACCCCGGTCGGCCTTTTGTTCCTGGTCGTCGCGAGGAGAGAAAGAGAGAGAGAGAGAGCGTACGCGCGCGCGCGCCGACCGCGTGCAAAACACAGTTAATTATTGGGACGAGGACGAGAGCTAAGGAGTGCCACGTGGGCCGTGGCTGACGCGGTTATGGCTCCAGTTTTTAAATCCGTCGCCTGCCCTGCTGGCCACGTCGCTCCTCTTCGCGACCAACTTCTCGTTTTCGACGGTTTCTTCCGGGTCGAATAATGCCGCAGTATGCGCGATCCTATTTTTCTCTTCGTTCGTGTGTCTGGTCGAATAGGGTTCCGATTGTGTATACACTGAATGAGGACTGTTGAGAATATTTTGAAAGTGGCCTAAGTCCAGTTTTTAAAAGCTGACTATTTTAGGTAGCCATTTTTCGAGCTAGCTATATTTATATTTATATATATATAATGTTTTCGTCTTTCCGAGGGTTATTGTGTTCTACAGAAATTATATATAAATGAAATGAAATTATAAATAACATAGAAACGTAAATATAAAAATAGCTATATATATATACCATGTGTTATCAGTTACCAATATTTTTTAATTTATTAAAACGCCCCTTGAATATCTAGATTTTAAAATAAATAGACTGACAAGCCACTCTCAAAATGAACGGCTCGATTATCCTCTTGTTAGGCATTTTTAGGCGAGGGTTATCCCTTTGCACTCGATCGGTGAGTCTGAGGTATCAATAACATCGTTATATCACGCTCCAAGATTATTTTTATGTTATCAATATGTTTAGATTTAAAAAATTGTTAAAAGCGTAAACTGTTGATACGAGTCACAAGACTCGATTTCATATGGATAGAGTGCTCTTTGTCATATAAAATGGAAATACTATAAGTCAGAAAAATTATTTTAGATTCGGAGGTGAAATTGTATGTTGTTGTACGATTGTATGTTGTATTTGAGCACAAATCACTTTGCGTTATATGTATTGCGAGACTTATAAACGCGCGTCTCGTTTTTTCCGAATCTCTGAATTTAAATTAAATTCTCCCTAATTGATCAGATTATACAGAGAAATGGACACTTGGACAATTTGGGAAGAGG